TGTACTTTTGCACCTGATTCGGACGATATTCGCCAGAAATTTGACAGAATCGATTGTACAGATGCTGTATCTGTGTGGGTTTCACTGTGGGGGAAGCAAGTACTGGCTGAGATTACTCCATTACTTTCACCACTCACGTACATTGTGTCTTTGTCTTGAGGGTATCCATAAACTCCGCTGGGACTGTGGGATGCGGAGATGTGGAATTCCTGCAGCAACATCCACCCATTCTGTTTCGGGTTTCCTATTTACACACAATTCACATAAACCTGACAGCATTTACTAGGAAAGAATGAGGCACTTGCTACTTAATTTTCCGTTTTTCCGCCCTTAGAGATCAGTTTAGATTACAGTCCGAGGCTCTCTTTATCGCTCTGCTCGGAGATTTCTCGTTGTCTTTTACGATTACGCACACCCATAAAAACATTGAGATCTCAAAAGACAAGAAGCTGCGACAAGTGACATTCTCTGTGTGGAGCAAGTCGAGCCACTCATAAAGCATATTAGTTCATTAAAAATAAAAATTAAACCGAACTCGGAGTCAGATTTGGACTAAAGTTCTGTGTTGCCTGTGTTGTGGCCGCCTTTAATGAGGTCTGCGTGTCCGTCTTTGGTTTTATTCTCTGAACCCAGCAACCGGTTCAGGGGTTAAGGGCGTAAAACAGTTGATGAAATGTGTCTCTTTACATTTTATAGTTCCTCAAATGATGGGTATATGAATGAGGAACAGAGAATTCCATTCAGTGAGACGGAAGTGAGAAGATTTTCTTACTAGATGTTCATGGATATTGAGCCTTCAAATATCTATTTCATAATTTAATTAAATAAACTTCCCAAGAGTAGCAGAGCTTCGCTTAGACCCTTCTGCAGTCCGTTTACATAATGTGTCTGTGGGTATATTTGACCGACACATTCGGCCTTGGGCGGAGTAGAAAATCATATAATATTTGGCAGTCTTAGAACAACATTAAGCGTTGTGTGGTCCGCGTGCCGGGGGTCACGTCTCGCATATCTGGCGGCCAATTTGTTGCAAAAATGTGTGCCACATGACAAGCAATTAAGCTTGGACTACGACAAAGTACGTGCCCCGATCCCGACTCAGGTTCGGGCTTGGTCTTGGGCCTTGTCTTTGACTTGGTCACAGATATGTCCAGGGGACAGTGGAGGTTTAGTGAACCCGGTCGCGAGAGCGATAAATTTATGACAAATTTTCAAAAGAAATGCCAGGCACCGGGCCGACTGGGCTGGCTGGGCAGACTGCGTGTGGTTTAGTGGTTCTCCAGCAAGAGTTTCGGAACTCTCTCGACGTGGCGGCACTTAACACCACGCATCATTTTAATTATTTATTTGGTCATAAAACAGTCGAAGCCGGGGGAGGCGAGGCCGATGCGCTGGTTGAGGCATGAGGGATGCGGGTTGCGGGATGCGGGCTAAGGACAGGAAGGGGGCGAGTGGCCGACTTTCGGCACAGTTTTCGTTAGCTTCAGGTTGAAAATCGTTAAATTTAACAAATTGCCAGCGATTTTTATCGCGCTCCAAGCCCACAGTCAGGGCAGACCAAAAACCCAACCCAACCCAACCCAACCCTGTCCTGTCCTGAACGGCCCTGCCCCATAGATTGTCAGTTGGTTTTTGTTTTCCTTGTACATATTTTCGGACTGGCAAATTTATTTATGACCAACGGCAGAGTTTTTCGGTTCGGTTTCGGCCTCGGCCATAACGCATAATTGGCCAAAGACTTATGCGAGAGATGACTCAGGTTGAAACCGCTCGAAACTTTTCCCCCAACTAAGTTGAATGATATTCCTGCAATGGAATAGATTCCCAAAATGTTTAATGTTCTGTTTAAAACTTGAAAGATTGAATGATGATCCATCCTTAGACTTTAGTTCGTTGTCCAAGTCTTTCGTTGCTTTGCCAAAAATGTTGCCATGCTTATTTCTGCGCATTCAAATAATTAAGCAACACATCAAATGGCAGTTAATAATATGGAAAATGTAATTTAATTGCAAACACAACCAAATTATGGCCACTATTAATACCAAAATAAATTTTGTAGCTCGAAAAGAGCCTGTTAATTGCCACCAATATGCAATGGCCGGCTAAAAAACAACGAATCGCAGCTGTGGCCAGTCGACTGGCAAGCGCTTCAGACTGTCTACAAACATGTTAACTGAAAATAACCTGTAATTATAATAATTATCTGTAAATTATATGGCGCACTTACCATTGCGCACGGATTCATGCGCCTGTCATAAAAATCCAAAGCGAACTTTTGAGTCAACTTTGGCTGTTTAATCTTGCTCAAATTTCAGACAACTGGCACTACGACCAGTTAACGGTTGCAGTCAATGGTTAACGGCTGTAAGCTACTGCTGGCAGGCAGTACACCACACGATGCACACTGCCCCGAAATTTGTGGCACGTTTCTTAGGTGCCTCAATCTATATGGAGGTGAGCAGCAGCTAAGCAAGAGTAGGATCAATCGTTAATGGGTGTCAGATCGGATGAAAATTATTTATGTGTTCGGTGCTCGCTGTTGACTGATATTTAGTTCACTTTTCTTTCTTTCAGTGTACTTGTGTCCAAGCGACAATTGCAGTTTTATGCCGGTGGACATCAGAAACGTGATCATAGCCCCTCCATTTAGACGAAAATTAAATCAAATTTCATTTTCATGTGTGAAGCTGCCGCTCCATCGCATAATCCGGTTGACTGTTGGTGAGTTTTCTTGTTGTTGTTGTAATCTTGTTGGTGTTTCTTTTTCTACCATTTGGTAAAAGTATTTTTGTTGTAGCTCTTTAGTTGCTGATTAGTTGTTGGATTATTGTTCTTATTGTGGCACTTTTGTTGTTGGAATACTGTTGGTGTATGGCTTTTTGTTGTTGGTGTACTGTAATCATTTGTTGTGCGTACCCGCTCGGCACTCGCTTGGGCAGCTCGCTCGATTCTTCATAATTGAAACGAGTTTGCCACAAGTGAACATGTTTTTTTCAGTTTTATTTTGTCGGTGTTGGGGTTGGGGGGTTGTGGGCAAGCCCAAACATACAACATTGTCAGATGTTTCGCAGTTGAGTGTCGGTTATAAAGTAATTAGCCTCAATTTAATGTTTATACTTTGTTGATTATGATTATGTTAATTATATGAGTTTATGCGACACGGTGAAAACAGGGAAACATTCCGGTTGCCCTGTCATCATCATCACCGCCGCTTTTGACACTGATGAACTCGAAAGTGTGACAAGCCAAGAGATTGCTTAATGTCCGAGTTACATGGAAACTTTTCCATGCATGTCCAGTCCAGCCCAGCCCAACCCAAAGAGAAATGGGTTCCAGAGGTGGGTGTTGGACTCAGCTTTCGTTCATTCTGGTTTGGCTACCCCGTGGCCAATGGCTGGCTAATGGCATTCTATTAAAAACCACTTTTATTAATTAAGCAAAACAACTTAATTCTCGCTGCATCACATCCAGCCTCAAATAATGGACAGCTGCTCAAGCTATCCACGCTAATTGCAGCCAGGCAACTGCAACTCCATCTGCATCTTCCCGAACCCGAACCCGATCCCGAGCCCGATCCCGAGCCCGATACCGAACAGAGGCACACGGAGAGTCGCTGCCACAGACACCTGAACACTTTGAAATGAAAACACGATAAATGAGTTTAATAATGGCGGCAATTAAATGGATACACGTTGCTAAACTCGCACCGAGATCTCACCGTTCCAGGCCCAAGACTTGCAGAGTCGAAGAGTCGAAGAGTCGCAGTCGGAGCCCGATCGGGCAGCATCTCAATTACCGCTGCTCTGCATGGCGCTTCACGGTTGAGAAATTCGACGCCACTTTCAAAAACGCATCAGTCAAATGCTCATCTGCCCGGCTGCCCGGCTGCACTGCCCTCTGGTGGCCAAGGCGTTGATTCTGGCTCCCCCCGGTCCCAGTCTTATCCACAGTTATTGGTATCTCTAACAGCCAGCCCCCCCCCAGACCCAAGTCGGCCAACTCATCAGCAATTTATTAAAACTCATCAATACTCATCAGAAACAAAAACAATGCCGAGGGAGAGACTTCAAGCAGCGAGCTGATTTCGAGGCTCGAAAAGAGAAAATCCCAAAATCCGAGACGCCGACAACAGAAACTGAATAATGCCTGCGGTTAATTTGGCGCAGCTTCAGGAATTGAAATAGATTTGTTTAACTTTTGATTATGAGAAGAGGTTTACGTTAAGCGGAGTCCATGGGTTTGCTGTTTGATCAGATCTAAAGATCTTAATGGGATTCCCGAATCTCTTCTCATCACCTTCGGTAGATCATTGGCTAGTCGGCAGTCGTCTAGAGCCGCAACTTTTGTGGCATCATCTACTGCTCGTTCGCAGCTTGAGCTGGCAGCTTTTTCACCTTCTTCGTTTGTGATTTGTCTGCATTCTCAGCTCATTTATTTGTATCTCGGAATGGTGAACAAACAAAATGTTTTGCATATGTCAGAGAGCCTCAGAATGCTCACAGCCATCAATCCCGAGGGCATCAATTTGGGAAATGCATCAAAGTTGGCAGCTGAAACAGCTTGATTAGTTGTACAACCATCGCCGGACTGGCGGCCCCGTTCCCCCGTCCCCCCGTCCCCCCGTCCCCCAGTTCGACAGCAGCCCCAACTTGGCCTGGCCAAGTGCATGTTGGCTCATTAGTTACCGCCGCTGATGAGCAGCCACAGCGTACGGGCAGCGGTATGGTTGGGGGAGTGAGCTGTGAAATTGGTAATCGAAAATGCTTGTGGTGGCGGAGACTCCGCTTCGGAGACGCAGTCTCATGTCTCTCACGTCTGGTGTGTCTACATCAAAATTAAGTTTTAATAATTGGCTCACATTTATTTGCTGCCTTAATTTGATTGTGCCGTCAAATGGTTTTATGCATTCGAATCATCAATTAATCATTGCTCATTGATGGATGTGTGCCGTGCGGTTGTGCCTGATCTTGTTGGGGGCGTGTTAGCCTTAATGAAGCGGCCTAATGCTGAGCGGGGATGATCGAAGATGATTCGTAAGAGAATTCCACACTTGATTGAATAAAGAGAATGTTAGGGAGCATTATTATTATCCCTTGCAGGATCTTCTCCAATAACTATCAACATTATTTATTGATTGACTTATGGAAATATTTCAGTTGGCTGCAAAATTCCTCGCTGTCAAATCGCACACCTTCAAAGTTCGATTAAAACTGGGACTGGGCACGCTCAAAAAACACACAAAAACAACACACAAAACGAAGAGCTACAAAGTATAAAACTTCATTAAGAAGTTGGCAAGACTTTGGCAGACCTTTTGTCGCCTTCGCATCGCGATATAAAATTGAAATTGCAAATGTGGTCGGGACACGGCGACAGAGAGAGAGAGAGAGAGTGAGGGTGAGGATGAGGATGAGGCTGAGGCTGAGGTGAGTGCTGTCCAGCCGGGTTCTGGGTCCATTCTGTGCCCCAATCTGTGTCGCCGGATCAGCGGCAAAAGTGTTTGGATATTTGTTTAATGAAAAGCGAAACCAACGCACAGCGACTGCTGCCCTTCGGGATGTCCAGCAAACGATTCCAGCAGGCATCCTATCGTGCGGCAAATATCAAGTCATTGGCTTTAGTCACACTTAACCCCAATCCCCAGAGCCAGAGCCAGAGCCAGTTCCAGTCTCAGTTCGAGTCCAGTTCCCTCCACAAGAGTCCCTTATCCGGCATTTTGCTGTGCAATTAATTAAGTTGAGCATTTTTAAATGTGTGTGCTGGCTGACTTTCGGGCCTGTTACCATTTTAATGCCTGTAGGTTGGCCAGCATCAAGAACCCTCCGAACATGTTCCTTAACATGTCTAATTAGTTGTTGTGTTGTTCTTCTTTTCTGATGCTTTTCCTTTTTTTTCTTTATTTTACTGGGATTTGTGCTGCGGCTGCGTGCGATAAAAAAATGCATGGCACTCATTTAGTGTTTTCTTAAGCTGAGACATAAATTTGCAAGCAGTTAAAAGGCCTTTTGCCCGATGGCGATGCCGAATTGCTGAAATCAGCGCTCTCAGATAAACTCTTTCCCGAAATGCCCCGGCAGACATGAGAGACACTCCGGAGTGAGTCTTGAGTGTGAAACAAATCTAAGGAAAGCCTTGAAAGTGGCCTGCAGTTGAATGTGTCTTAAGACCTCATTTCGGGGATAATTAAACGTAGAGAAGATTGGAGAATGAATGAAAATATGACGCACAAAAGTGTCTCTATGGAAGAGAATTGTTTTTACTTGAACATATTCCATGGGAATCCCCCTCTAGCTGCAGAGATTCTGTCGGGGCAAACACCGTGCAAATAAACTTAAGTTAATTAACTTCTGGTTACATTAATTTATGCAGCATGATTAATTACCCCAAAAACGAGCAGCGTCTGTTGTGCTGGGACCTCGAACGAGGCGACTGACACAGTGCAGTGGAGATCGAGACTGAGGAATGGCCAGTGGACAGTGGACAGTGGACAGTGGCCGGTGGTTGGCACGTCAGCCGGCGGCCTGTCAGCGTTGCCTGCTACCGGGAGGCAAGAGACGTCTTGGCTGCCACAACTCAAGCTGCCTCGACTCGCTTCGCTGCAGCAATTTTGCACGCAGTTTCGTTATTTGGGCGGCAGCAGGGGTAAGCAGCGGGTGTGTGTGTGTGTGTGTGTGTGAGTGTGTGTACAGCTGCAGCAACCAGTTGAAAACGCCATTGGTCATTTGCAGCAAACTGCAAACTGCAAACTGCAACAGCAGCGCCGGCCATTAAAATGACATAGAGCCACGAACAGACAAGAGGCGCACGATGTTCCAGCCAGGAGTCAGCTGTAGGAGTTCGGGGGGGGGAGCCAGCAAAGGGAAGCCCAATAGTCGTGTCCACTCCTGGCATACAATATTTAACCCAAACACATTGGACGCCAAGTCAGAGTCCGAGGCGCCTTCGCGAGCATGTGTTAATGTTCGCCGTTGACTCCGGCTCTGACCAACAATTAAATTCAAATTAACACAAAATGCAGCCACAGCCACAGACACAGTTTGGGCCATTAAAGAGAGCAAATCAAATGGATTTATTTACTAGCCAGCAGCCAACAGCTGCTCCATGGATGCCATTAATAATTGATCCAAATTGAGCTTGATCTTTAGGCTTAATCTATTTGGCATTCAGCATGCCACTTGGGCTCCTCTTACAGTCACCCAAACTCACAGCTAAGCCTCGAACAAAGCAAATAAAGAAATGTTACCAGGCCAAATCCTTTGCAATTGTTGCAGGTGCCAAAATTCGCCCTCTAAATCCAAATTCTGTGCAGCAGCCGAGGAAATGTGTTAATTAACTGCCTCATTGTGGCAGCTGTGTGTGTTTGCTGTTTGGATTTGGGCTCAGCGAATGGCATTCACAGCCCAATATCGATGCCATAGAACGGCGGGGGGGGGGACAGGTGTCGGGCGGGCAGGGAAACCCAGCTATTTCCACTGCGACCCCATAATTTAGCCGATTGTCAGCGTCAGCGTAAAACTTGGCTAACTCCAGTTGCTGGGCCGCACCCATTAATTATTTTAAAGTAGTTGGCCGACGCGCTGTTGCCTTTGCAACATTTACCAGAGCCGCCGCAGATTTATTGACTGTGCCACAAAACTTTTAGCATACAAAAACTATTCGTTCCTGCCCTCTGCCCGTTCCCCATTCTCCGTGGGGTTCAAAAAGGTTTTAATAGCAAATGTCGGCAATTTGTCGGCGGCGACAAAGCGAAATGGCTTTTAAATGGAGGTTCCCCCTCATGTTCGAGGGCGTGTCCCGCCCCCACATGCACTTATTGATTCTCTCCACCGGGACGGGGCATGTGGGTGGAGCACATGCATAGGGGGAGGCCAAAGGTTAATTAATTAATTGGCTGGGCAGGTGAACTTAGCAAGGAAATTGCAGTAAGGTTGAACGGGCTCTGGCATGGAGGAAGCAATGTAGTCAGTGGGAGGAGTCAATGGGCAAATGCAGTTGTGGGTTGTCCGTGGGAGCTGCCAGATGTCTACAAGATCTGTACTAAATTGTAATTGATTATTCAGAAATATACTCAATTTTCGAAGAGGAAAATAAATTCATTTGCTGGCTCTCTACCCAATACCCTTAAACCTCTCTCTGACTCATACATTCTGTACCTCAACAACTCATCAGAGGATGGGCAACAATCAGTAGCCTCATCATCGTTATAACCCAACCGATTTCCTCTTTCTTTTTCAATTTCTTACAAATTCATAAACCAAAAGTTGCTCCACTTGCCACACCCCAAAAGGGGCAGAACACAATACGAATATATAGAGGTAAATGCATATCTCTGATTCATGGGCCAACACACCCGCCTCTAACCCTCCAGCCAGAAATTAGAGCGAAGACATTTAACGAGGTCCCGGCGCCCAATTCTCTGCCCAAAAACGTCTCTTAATACAAATCGCTTGCCATTTATCTTGGTCCATTAATTTATAAATATAACTAAGGCAGATTCTCTACGAAAATAAACAACAGAAAATACAAAATAAAACGCAGAAAGCAACGAAACGAACCTGAAGTTATATATAAAGCTTCCTTGGCTTGCGTGCCCATTGGGGGCGTGGTCGGGGAGTGCGCCAAATGGGCGCTCATTAATTTCCACAAAATGTGAAAAATTTTCAAAAAAAACCCAAAACGCATTAAATTGAATTTGTTGCCGCTGCGATCGGTGGCATGCCGTGCACCGAGTGCTTCGTGATTCGAGCCTAATTAATGTTAATTTCCTCGCTGCTCCCCCTCCGTGCGAGGGCAGCCGCATACATTTTCCACTCCAGCAAATCCACAATTATACGAAATTAACAAATCATTTGTGTGGCAATCTGTCAAAGCTTCCACCCAGCGTAGGTGCTGCAGATGAACATTTGAGAATTTACAATAAATATTTTGAATTGGTATAGGAAACTGATCGGTTGATCGCAATCATTTCGAGGATAGCAAACGAACGACATACATCAAGTCTCCTGTCCAGTAATGGGATCTTCAATATAATGAAACAATAAACAAGACCTAAAGACAATCCAAAAGGCCCTGTTCCAAGCCAAACTTAGCTCGCTGATGGGCAAATGCACGACAAGTGAAATGAATAACTATTATTTAAATGAATATCAATATTAATGAATAGTTTTGTAGCTTCGTCACAGTGGAGAATCATTTATTACGACGACTATTTGCGGTTTGTTTGCGAGTCGATCATTAAATTGCAATTACGTAATTGCAAAACACGCAGTAAAGTTCGAGGCGTCATCAGCCGGGTCGTGTGTGTGCATTTCCAATTAAAAAAGCATTAAAAAAAAGTTTTTGCCCATGGACTTGGCCAGAATTGGAATTGGAATCGGCATCGGAATGGGCTGGCGCTGAAGCTGGCGCTGGAATAGCACCTCACCTGCCAGAGGAGATCTTTGGAGTTGGGAGTTCCAGAGTGAGAAAAAGATATTTCCTTGGCTTAGTTCCAGTCGATCACTGTTTGTGTGTGTGTGTTATTTATGGCGTCGAGAAAATTAACTTTTCCTTCTGGCTGACATGGAAACCAATTTGCCAATTGACGCCTCAACCACTTCCAGGCATTTGTGGCAACGTCTTGACTTTGGTTTGGTTTTGGTTTTGTTTTTGGTTTTTGGTTTTGGGCCAGAGCTTCGGTTTGGGCTCTGGTCCGTCTTTCAATTAAATTTATGTTCGGGCAGAAGGCGCCAGGCCCGTCCAGCCAGAGCCCAGAGCCCAGAGCCAGAGCCAGAGCGACTGACTGAGTTGATCGCTGATTTATGGCCTGGAAACGAAGGCGGCAGCTGAATGGAATAGAAAACACTTTGCAATTATTATTGAAAGTATTATTTTTATGGCTGTTGCCGTTGTTCCCCAGCTTGTATCGACCGCCCACGATGCGACGCGTCGCCCCTACCGACGGTGGCTCATCGAGTGCGCCAAATGAGGTTTAAACTGCAATTCCGTTTCCATTTGGCAAACTTTTCCCCATACAAATTGCCGCTAAATAGCTGAAACCTGACACGGCCTACGCCGTTGCCAGCACGTCCACGTCCACGTCCGCGCCCCCAAATGTTGCTGCAAGCTTCTGCTGGCTGCCGTTGTTGCTGCAGCACTGCGCCAAATGTCAGGCCCATCAAATGTCGTCACTCTGCCCCTCGCCCAACAACTGTCAAATTTGCACTGCCTGCCGCACTAATGACGCCCTTAATATGCTCCAAGTGGCCACCCTGCTGCCCATGCCTGTTGTCTTGTTGGCCAAAAGCCATTTCCCCTCTCATATGAGCACAAAATTTTATTTTCAAAGTCATCGTCGTCATCGTCATCCAAGCTGCCAGACATGCCAAAATCAAACGAAGGCAAAAGCTAAGAAATTGTGGTGGCAAGTCGATTGCAAAATACACTTTCCAAGAGGAGCCAAAGAAAATGTTGAAGCTACTAGAAGAGCTTCCAAAATAATAAAGAAACTATTTAGAGCACGATCATTCAGTCATTCCTTTGCCTAAACCCATATTAGCATTACTTTTTAGCTTGCTTTCCTTTGCCGGTAATACTTTGTTGACTGTTGACCAACGTAACCAGGAACATGTTGACCAAATTCGACTTTAGCAATCAGCCATCTAATGCATACACACACGAATATTTGCAGATATGTACAGCCCTCAGATATATACACGTTTGAGTGGCAAACAAAAGGGATTGACGTGACATTCCCTCCCCCAGGAGGAGCCCCAGCAGGTGTCTTGTGCCGTAGACAACTTCATTTTGTGGGCCGAGACTAAAGACTCATAAATTTGCAGCCCACAAAAGGAAACGCAGAGCCAGCTGATGTATATTTATATATGCAAGTGTGAATGTGTGTGTGTATGAAGCCAGTGCAACTGCAATTAAGTAATTCTCACATCGTTTATGCAAAGTACGTAAATTTTGCCAGGCATTCTCCTAGCGAGTCCCCCCCATAGGCAGACACAGAGCCGAGAGCCCATTCCACATCCTTTCCAGTTTGGTTCTGGTGATTGCTCGCGTGCAACCTCAACACCCTTTGCTTGTATTCAAGTGGCCCATAAATTGTTGGCCAAGTTTTCACGGGGTACGCCCACTTTTCGTTGCGCTGCTTTGACAACGGCAATTACCTTGAACTTTTCGCTGTATCACAAAGTTTATTTATACTCCACATATTGTTTTTTTTGGCCATGGCCAGGGCTCATTTTCTGATCTCTTCGCATTTTGTCAGTTAAATTTTTGGTTTAGTTCGCGTCCCGCTTTAAATGAACCCAAATTGCAGTCCCCTTAGTCCAGGATGGGGGTAGCCATTGCTCCATATGCATATTTCTCGAATAAACTGACAGCCCCGAAGCGATTTAAACCGGGTATACTCGTGTGTACATATAGTAAATATGTTTTATATTTATAGGCAATCGTTTGCATTTTGAATATCAATTTCGGTAGGTCTGGCTATCCAATCAATTTCGGCCTTTAGCTGCTGCTCTCGACTGACATTTATTTTTTGGCCGCCTTATGAGACCGTAATTCCGTAATTGTTGATTGCACTTTTTACTGTCAACGTTTAGCACACAACATTTTGGCGGGGCTCAACAACTCAATAAAGGGAAAGCCTTGTTAGCAAATATATTTTTTGGGTATTTTGCCATTTCCTATTGCCGATTGCTTGACAGCTGATCGATGGTTATTGGGGATTTGAAATGAGTTTATCATGCAATGTCGGGATTGAGTTCTAATAATGAATGGAAAATCATTGGCTGTATAGTCCTTAGTTGGTTAGGATTGTACTTATCACATGTTTTGTCCATTTTCTATCCTCGAAATTCTTATAATTCTTGTAATTTCTCTCATATACTCGCAATAATTGTTGTTATTTATGATTTAAGTTTTAAACAATTTAAATTAATTTATACAGATGACAAATAATTTACAAGAAATTAAAGGAACACAAAATAGCGGAGAATCTCTCTCTCTCTCTCTCTCTCTCAGCGATTACTTCTCTCGGTCCAGAGATCTCTCCCGCTCTCTTTCCCGCTCGCGCTCTCTCAGATACATTTGCTGCTGCTGGAGGAATTGTTGCTGCTGCTGCTGATGTTGCTGCTGGAAATGTTGCTGGTGCTGCTGCAACAACTGATGTTGCTGCTGGGTAAGTGCGGGTGGCTCCCCAGGCTGCTGCTGCTGCTGCTGTTGTTGTTGTTGCTGTTGTTGTTGCTGAAGAAACTGTTGCTGGTGCTGGGCCAGTTGTTGCTGGAACTGTTCCCTCAGACGCTGATGCTCCTCGGCATCCATGTCGCTGCCGTAGTCCTCCATGTCGATGACTTCATCCTCGTCATCCTCCTCGATATCGTCATCGTCCTCGGCCTCCTCGGCATCCTCGTAGCTGTGCTGAGAGCCATCCTTCTGGGCATCCTCATCACCATCGCCGGCACCGCCACCGGAGGAGCTGCCCTTGTTGCTCTTGGTGTCGCTGCCATCGCCGCCCTCTTGTTGCATTCGCTTGTGCTTTGTCCTCCGGTTCTGGAACCAGACCTTAACCTGGAAGAGAGATACGGAATTAAGAGGGGGGTTACCATTTCGGGGGGAGGGACTTCCTCCAAACCCTTCTTCCATTTTATATTGTTTCCTCTTTTCTAGGCTATTTTTTTTTTTGGCAAGTCGTAAATAAACTTAACGAGTCCTTTAATTCTATTTACGGCCTGCCTCTTAGCTATGCCCTCGCAGGCAGGGGTGTTGGCTGCCCGTTGCACACCCCCTTTTCCACCTCCTGTGCTGCCCCCTGATTGTGCTAATAACTCAGTAACTCCCGGCACTTCTTGGGCTAACGACCAGACGACATGCAATCACTTAGCTCCCTGCGAAGGGGTTGCACGAGTGCAGGAAGCACCAGGAAGACTGCCTCTATGGCGGGGGATACTTATTGAATTTGATGCGCATTAAGGGAGCAAAAGGGTTGTGGGTCGCCCAAGGTCTCCCACTCACCTGTGTCTCGGTGAGGCTCAGCCCTTGGGCCAGCTGCTTGCGCTCGGCCCCGACCACATAATGATTCCCCTCGAAGGCGTGCTCCAGCTTGAGCAGCTGCGTCGGCGAGAAGGCGGTGCGAACGCGCTTCGGCTTGCGGAAGGGCTGGAACAGGAAATCTGAAAGAGAGATCAGTAGATTAAATGGGTTGTTTTTTATGGGGGTGGTACTTAGATCTGTGAAGGAGTTATTTCTTCTTGAAACTGGGTTTTCCACCAATGCTGACACATATTTGGTGGCTCTTCAATTGGGTAATTATTTACCTCGTTGGTGCCATTCTACTTTTGCTGCTTGTTGCAACAACTCTCTGGCTGGTGGCACTGCCAATTAGATGACTCAAATTGTTGATTATGATTTCCGCGAATGCCCCACACACATATTCCACACACTCATTACAAAACAATAAACAAATTTCCAGGCATGGCCCCCGAACACAAAAGACTTCTGGTTCGTGCCGCTGTCGGCGCTGTGTCTGTGCCATGTCCCAGAATCGCTGATAAGGCCAAAACAATTGCCAGGCCAGGCCAGGCCAGGCCGAAGCCAACGAGGCCAAGTCGAACACTTTAGCGCGCCTAAAAGCCGCCTCCTCGGCCCAGGCCCAGGCCCAGTCACAGTCTCCATTGTTCTTCCTTTTGGCCAGGCACAACGTGATATTTTGACGTTTATCACGATTTGTGGAAGCGCAGAAAGACCCACTCCAGACCCACCACGCATCTGCCTGTTGTATGTTCTGCCAGTTAACAAATTTTCAATTGAGCCACAATTTGAATATTGATACGAGGCTACTGTGCAAGATGCAGCCTGAGATTTAACCCAAAAACCCAAGGAGTGAGGCAAAAAGATGATGGAATGTTAACCATTTGTTATGCCAAGAGCAGCGAATACTTTGCCCTCAGTTGAAGATACTTTTGCGGGTAAAGGAAGTTCGTTTTTCCACCTTTAAGTTCTTTGTGTAACCAGAATTGTTGTGTTATCATTTTGTTCAAATATTAAGCTACCAGAAATCTTAAGCCCTTCCTTCTTTGATTCGATTTCTTATACTAATCCCAGTATAACTCTAATGCCAGACTTGTTGTGATATCATTTGGCAAACATGTTAAGCTAACCGAGTCTACCGAGACCCCCACAAGGTGTGCCAATTACAAAATCAATATTGACATAGCAAAATGGCATCGAATATAACCCCGAATATCGAATAACCAGCCTAACCAGGCTGTCGCAGGTCTGATCCACACACAACAGAAGCTAAGCCACTGAGAAAATAAACAGCAAATAAACTGAAAGGTAACCGAAAGGGCGCGCAGCTATTAAAAGTCAGTGGCAGGGTCTGAAATGTATCTTGTAACTCGTGCATTGTATCTTGTTAGCGTGGCAGGGGCTAGAAAAACAATAGTGAGAAAAGAGAAAACCCTTCCAAAAACAGAAGCGCAAACGGGACAGGGAGAAGAACTTGTCAATTTGACACTTCATAAATGCAGCCTCGGGCCATTGATGGCCATGTATCTGACAGATGCAACTGACTGGCTGACTGACTGAGTGTGGCTGTGCCTGTGCCTGGGTTTGGGTTCGGATTCGGGTTCGAGCGTGCTTGGTTTTTGCTATGAACTTGACAAACGATTGCTGCATCCAGCCTCAAGCTGAAGCACTCGTAGAACGATCTAGTTTTTTATGAACCCGGGCGATTTCTTGACATTTGTTACATTTGACAGCGAACAATGTAGCTACAAGATACACGACTGCACGACTGCTGCCCATCGCCTTAGATGTGCGAGTGTCTCCGTCCGGTAGCTGTATAATTGATAATGCCGCCTGACTGCCGCTCACAATGGCTACTTAATTATTTTTTCCTCTTGTCATAGACAGCCATCGAAGTACGGGCAGGGAGGGATGGGAGGTAGAGCCACTCTGCAGATCTCAATGAAGTTCGCTGATGGTTTGGTTTTTTCTTTTCCTCCCATTTGGACACAAAGGAAACCGCCGTGCGAAAATACGCGCAATTGACAATTAATTGATGTGTCCGCTCGGCTGCCAATGTTGCATGTATTGGCTGCTGCTGTTGTTGTTGTTGTTGCAGTTTGCTTCTCTTGCTCACACCCTTGTCAGCTGTCATTTTTGTATGTGTGTCTCTGTTTTTTGCCCATGATTGAAGTGCTGCCTCCATCGATCGTTTCGTTTCGTTTCGTTTTCGTTTGTTCTGCTGTCCTGACACTTTTTGTTCGCCTTATTATTTATCACTTATGTGCAATTGTATTTGTTTGCTGTTTTTTTATGGAGTTAGGGCTTAATTTTTATGCTCTCATGATTTTTTCATTAATTTATTGCGTTCCTGGCGTGGCCCGGGCCTGGCTTTCGGCTGAAAAAAGGACATTGACATTGGGAATCGATAATTGAAATCAAATCTTCTGACAGTTGTCGTGGATGTATGGCCTGATGGATTAGATTGGATTTGCCCGTTTTGCCAGTGCCGTCATGAATGGGATTTTGTGGGTTTGCTTATGAAGATGATACTTCTGAATGGAAAAGGATCCATCAGGGTCTTGGCGTTGCCTAAAAAAACAAATAGTTCCTGGCCGGGTTTCAACAATTAACTTAGGAATTTCGCCAAGCAGTTAATCTAATTAAATAAAAATAAATTGAGTCGCTGCTGAACTTCATTTTAGTTAACGAGTCGAACCAGTTTCGCTTTCCTGTTTATAGTCAAAGGTATTTGATTTTGTGTCCCACACAAATAAGGCTAATTTTGTTAATCAAGTTTTGGCCCGACTTGGTCTGACATTTCGATATAATTATAAATTACAGCTGGCACCCACAAAATGTTTACTACACGTAGTTGAAGCTGTCAAACCGTAAGTAATCAAACTCTAGTCGAAGGACTCAATCTTTAACCCAACTCTACCCTTTTCCGCCTTCACCTCTGCGTACATTCACCTGCATTAGAAGGGCACGCCCAAAACAAAAACTGAAGCACGTGCAACCCGAATTGAGTTGTTGACGCATCATCATCATCGTTATCGTTATCGTTATCACCATTATCATTATCATTATCATTTTGATTGTAACCCCATTCCATTGTGATCCTCTGATCTGTGTGACCCGGTATTACTCACACGAAGACGAGAAACATTTACAATTAATGGAAACGTTATGCGAAACATTGACATTTCACGTTCATAAATCAAGCGAAAATTACAGCCAAGGAAATGGGAAACACGGACAAAGGGAGAAGAGTAAATAATGAAAGAGTGTACAACATATTTAAGGCGTAACGGGGATACGTCGCAAGCAGGTGAAAGGCGTCTGAGTGTGCCGAAAATTATGAGCCAACCAACCCAACCCAACCCGAAAAAAACATGTGAGAGTCGACAAAAGAAAAACAGAGATGGCATGAAAATTCAAATTATAATTATGGAAGCGGGGTATGCGTATAAAAAAAATGCTTAAACAGTAATAAATGACAATGTTTTTTGAGATGCGCTCTCTGCGGTCTGGCTCCGGACCCGGCCCGGCCCCCGCTCTACTCATCTTTCCCTATGGCCATCTCCGCTGTTCCCTCGTTCTTTTGGTTGGTTCTTTGCCCCAAAACCTCAATTAAAAACGCATTAACATTTCACTCGTTGCACTTTTTAGCCCGGTTATGTGCTCATGTGTGTGTGTGTGTGAGAGAGTTTGTTACACATACGCCGCATGGGCCCAAGCTGGCGCCCGTCTGTTGGCCATTAATGGTAATTTCGACTACAGAAAAAGATAAATACATACACACATATGTACATATACGTTTGTATATATGCCGGGCACACATGGCTGGCCATTTAGGTACGCTGCTTGACCTAACGATGTGTGTAATGTTGTTTAAACAATTTAATTAAAATGTAATTTGTTTGGAAATAGTTATCAAAATGGGTTTGGTTTTCTTTTCCTGGCTACACTCCTTTGCTACAGTTCCCCGCATATCTTTCTCGCTCTCACTCTGCTGAGTGCTCTGCTCTGCACTGATGATGATGAGGCTGATAGACGTCTAATTAACTTGTAATAAATGTTTGCCGTTTGCTTATTTAACTTTAATTATATGGAGCGGCGCAGAGCAATAGCAGCAGCGATAACTGAATAATTGCTTGATTGAGGTTCTACATATTATGTTGGGTACGTTGGGAGAGGAGAGGGTTAAGAGCAAGAGCTCTGGTTTGGTTTGGATGAGGTTGAGAGAGCTTAAAAGAGTTTTAGCGGGAAATATATTAACAGATTGATGTGAATTATGAAGAACTATGAAGAGTCATTTTTGAGATTATTTAAATCATTTCTTCTATATTCGGTTTGTGGGTTTATTAGTCGGATTGAAGCTGAGTATACTTTATAATCTTTTTTTAGACTCGCCATAAGTAAATATTAAAATTTGTAAGCCCTAAAAAACTAATAGATTTCTGTCGGAAAGGGCCATAATTAGTCTGGGTTGGAATGGTTCTAAGTTTGCATAACTTTGGCTCGTATTAATTCCTCAACTTAAAGCCTCTAGAACAAGTTTTCGCTGAACCGGTTCGCCAAATCACATTTAGAATTTAACTTTTCTCTCTTTAAACTCTTTTCTCTCTAGTCTGATAAGCATATAAATGCCATCCATCACAATCGATTCAGATTTTAAGGAACGTTTAAGAGTAGATTTGCGGGAAGCATTTAATTTAACCGGTTTGCCGTTTGATTACCGCTCCCATTAACCGGTTCAAGGGCAGAAAGTTGCAGCTACTTACTGCCTGGAAAGCGTGGAAATATGCGTCCATGGCGACTCAGCAGCCAGGGATACAGCGGGTAGCTATCACGGATGAGATGAGGTGCCGCCCCGAAGGGATGGTGGCCGTGGGGTGGCGGATGCCCTGGATGTGGCCCGCCCGGAAAGATGCCCAATGGGTGGCCGGGCGGCAGATGCTGGGGCGGACCATGTGGCGGTCCTGTTGGCACGGGCGGATGAGGATGTTGCTGCTGTTGCTGTTGCTGCTGCTGCTGCTGCTGTTGTTGGTGATGGTGGGCCAGGGCAGCGGCCATTTGGAACTGGGCGGCAAGGAACGGTGGCGGCGGCGGACCCGGCGGAACACCGGCCGGCGGTCGGACCACCACGGATGAGGGTGAGGTGCGTGCCTGGGCGATTAAAGCTAGATTTGGCGGTGCCGGCAGAGCGAGTGGACGGATCAGACCTCCCATTAGGCCGACTGGCGGTGGAGGAGCGCCTGCAGCAGCATTTCCATTCCCATTGGCCGCTGGCGCTGGCGAGGGTGAGCGACTGAGCGGCGACCGGGGTGGACTTCGCGATCGATCCAGGGAGTCACGTCTCCGGCAGTAGATGAATCCTCGCGGTGTCCTCCGGCCGCTGGTCGTGGGCGACGAGGGACTCTCGCTGCGCGGCGGCGAGGCAATCACACTGACGCGGAGTGGAGCGGATCGTGTCGTGGATTCCCCCACAATGGAGTCGATGCTGAAGGCCAGCTTGGGCTTGCTGGTGGCATTCGTCGCACTCGTCGTGGTTGTGGCTGCTGTGGCTGCTGTGGCTGCTGTGGCTGCCGTGGAGGAGCTGCTGACAAAGGGACTTGTCGGCGCCATTGGCAGCATGTTGAACGTTTGACGGCCGCACGTGACCATTTGGCGTAACGGTAACCGATGGCGCGATTCGAGGGAGTTTTTTGGCGGGTTAATTGAATATTGTGAACGGAGCAGAGTCTCGTTCGCGTACAGTAGTCACTGTCTAATCACAAATAAACACAGACACACACACACACTCAGTACGCGGTACATAGAGATAGGGTTCAGCGATTGGCATCCGCCGGACTGACATTGATAAACTGGATCACCGGAGAATGTCGTCGCTTGTGGCTGGCTCTTGGACTGCTCTGCGATGTGGGTTTGCCGTCGCTGGCGAGTGGAGCGTAACGGTGCCGCTTCAATGGAGAATCGACGGCGGCAGCGGCGGCGGGTTGAACGTGAACGACGACGTCGATTGCGGTTGCCGCGATGATGAGCACTGTCAACGCCATTAGCATTATGGAGCGTCTAAAGGCGTCTAATTGTCCACAGCGCTCGGCCGCTCCTCTCTCTGCACTCCACAGTCTGTATCTCTCTCTCTTTCTCTTTCTCCTGCTCTATCCACTGTTCCCTCTCTTTCTCTTTTGGGCTGCGTAAGCTTGTGGGGGCGTCGGCGAATCGTTTCGAGTCTCGCGGTAAGCGTCGCGTGGATGCCGCCGCTCGAGTGTCGTGGGCACACAGTCACAGTGCCCGTCCAGGGCTCGTTCTCGTTCACGGGCTTGTTTCTGCTTCTTCGCTTTGCTTTTGCCTTCCAGTGGAGCATTTGGGGAGCGCTGTCCCAGCCAGTCGTCTCGCTCGCTCACCCCTGCACGGGCGCATGCGCCAAAGCAGCGCAGATGAAACCTCAGCGAACGAACAGAAACCTGCTCCCCAGCCATGTGCGGAGTGGTGTCTCTCGCCCCCCAATGCCTCTATGTGGTGTTGCTGTTGCTGTGTTGGTGGAGTCGCCCGACCAGACTAGTCTCTCTCTCTCTCTCTCTTTCTCGCTCTTGGTCTCGCTCTTGGCCATTTTTCGCACCAGTTTATGACAGCGAAACAAACAATTTGCGCTAAACAAAACAGCATCATTAAAGCGTTTGTGGTTTTAGTGCCAAGCGAGCTTGGCCAGTCGGCCAGGGTCAGGGCAGGGTGCGGTGTGTGAGAGCTGCCAGCTGGCACAGTGGTAGCAAAGTATTGGATTCTGTGAGCATTGAAGAGGGAAACTGTTTGTAATACGTGGAAGGAACAGCTGGCATTTAACAGTTCTGTTCAAATATTCTCTACTTTGCATAATCCATGAATATTTATATGGAAAATTGAATCTGTTTAAGAGCTGATATTTGCATCAATTGTAAAGTCATAAAAAGGTGATTTAAATTTATATTTATGGACAAATCTTACTGAATTGCAATGTTCCTCATAAATAATAGTTTCCTCGATATTTCATTTGATTTTTAAGTTCTTAGAAATGTTCTGTTTGTCATGAAATTTCGCATGTCACGTACTGCCATCCACTGTGCCTGGGCATCAGCGTCATAGACGCCTCGTCGTCAGTGGTGTCTAATCCACCCGCACCCCAACCCCTTTACCACCCATCCCTGCCCGCTGACCGTTTGCCTGTGCCACCATTCTGATTTGGCTCGAATTGGCATCTGCATGATGTTGCTCGAAAGCATTTGAACATGAAAATGGGCGGGAACTTGGTTTCTTCACCTTCCAGCAAAGCACACAGATGCAGAAATACAGATCCAGAATGCACACGCACACAGATACGAAGGCTCTCAGAGAGTTGCATATTTGTTGCCTCAGCGGATGGTCATTCTCAGTCTCAGTCTCAGTCTCATTCTCAGTCTCATCCTCTGCTGGCTGAGAGTTGTGAAAATAAACACCTCGTTAAAGATGCAGGAGGAGGCATAAAACATGCAGCGCCAACAACGGCTGCCTCTCATAGGTAAATACACCCAGACATATGCAATATACGACCAGCCGGCCCCACCCCTAGCGCCCCATAATCTCCTGGCTCTCCGTGGCGGGGCAGCGGCATGAATGGAGCAGGACAGAGTGGTGCAGAGTGGAGGCTGGCAAATAAATTGACGTGCGCTTGGCTGGATTTGTATGCATCTAGATAAGGTTTCCCTGTCGATGGTCGGACGGTCGATGCTGCCGCAGATGCGGCGGCCTGCAACTGGAGTTGCATCTGTATTTCTATCTGTGTATCTGCATGCCTCTGCCTCTGCCTCTGCCTTGCCGTGTATCTTTCTGTGTGCTGTGTGCTGTGTGGCACCTCTGGGTGCGGTAATTGTAATTGGTTTTTATTTTTCGCGTTTGGTTCCTGCCTTGTGGCCGAGAGTGTTTGGCCGGGGCTGCCTCACGTTTCGGGATAAATCATTTAATTAGCCAGACAATGAGCTGGGCAGCATGGAGCTCCAGCTCTCCATCACTGCTAGAGGTTATCGATCGCCAATCAATGATTTTCGGGGGCGTACACTTGCATTCGGCACTTACGTTCAATTGAAATATGACCTGGAGGAGGATCCGCCGATAAAACGATTAGAAGTTCCTGGTTTATCAGTTAATAAATGTATGCGAATGATGGGAGTTTCTTTGTGGGTTGAGTTTTAAATACGATACTGTGTCTTGCAAAGGAAATAATCAAGGGGAATTATCTATTTCAAAGGAAAAATCCCATTGATATTAAGACTTTTAGAGGTTCGTCTAAATAAATCTGCAAAGGAAATTATCGAAGAATTCATTTGTGAACATTGGGGCACAACAATCTTGCCTAACTTCCTCTCAAAGTTGTTTTTTTTTTACTTATTTTTTCCATTTTCCAAAGTACTATTTTTCCTTCCAATGCAAAAATTCCATTTAAAAGCTGCAGCAATTATCATATTCCATCAAATACTCGTACTTACACTCTTCTAAAAAGTGTTCCCAAGCTAATTAAAGTCAGTTTCAACCAAAATCTGCCACCTTCCAGCGTAGGTTCTACCTAATCCTATGTATCATCTCGTATGGGAATTAGCTGCCTTTTTCTCTCCTCTCTGCACATAAGACGCTCTCGAATGGAATCCACAAGTTTCCATGTTCCACACAAACAGGCAGATAAACTCGCAGCTGTCGTTGATTGGCTGTCCGCCCAACTCATGCACGTGTGAGTGAGACAACAGTATGGGACTTGCCAGTATATATGCTAACAAGGGGGTTGGACTGTTAAATGAGTCTCTGGGCAAGAGAGTGGTGGGGGGCAAGCAACGCTGCTGCTGCTGCTGCTGCTGCTGAGAACGTATAAATCCAATTCATTTAATAATTGCCAACGAGATGGAGCTCATTATCACGAGTACTTTGCACGGCTTTGTCTGAGTCTACCCGGAGCAGGAGAGGGAGCTTATGTGTGGGGAGGCTGTGCTGGTTGGATGTGGTTGTTGCCGGTGTCTGTGTCTCCCCAGTATTACTTATAGAAATACGTATATAAATTAAGCAGAAAATCAGTCAAACCATCAACAGTTTGGGTTCGGCGAATACCCTGTGTACCCTTGGGTGCATTTTGCATGGGTTCTACGGCGTAAAAAATATTAAAATGTGACTGGAAAAGTTTTAAATTAAAATATTATATAGGGCAAACCATAAATATAGATTCTTAACCAACTTGCACACCAAAAACTTTATTGCAATTAGTAATAAAATATTTATTTTGTTTCTATTTTTATTTTGCTGAGATTTTAGCTGACATAATAGCTTGGGATGGAATAAATCGCATCACTTAATAGCTACGCTTTAGGACACTCCATTGATAACAGTCCTCTTGTGCCTTGTGCGAGCATGCCCTAAATAATACCATGAGGTATTATGGGCTAAAAATTGATTGCGCCGCCTAAGAGTTTTGTGCTAATGCTCCACTGTTCCTGTCTCTGTGCGTATATAAACATATATTTATATGTATACATATGTATCTATGTGTTTCTGTGCTTTTGTGTGCGTTTGTCTCGTTAGCGTTTTTATTAGACGCGCAAATGGAAGCCCAGAGCACTGAGTGGCTGAGACTTGGAATGGGGAAGCTGAGACTGAGACCGAGACCGATGCCTGATGATGGCGACGGCTTTTCATTGTCAATTAAAACAGCTTCTTGTCTGTGTGGCGACGAGCTGCAGGGAGGTGGATGATGATGGTGGTTGATGGTTGGGGGATGAGGCATGCGGCATGAGGCATGAGGCATGAGGCATGGCGGATGGAGATGAATGTCTGACTGTTTAGCGAAAGCATAATTGCCACAAGGGTTGGACCCGACCCGGCTCGGCCATCAGACATCGTCAGCGTCAGCGTCATCGTCATTTCCATCTCTGTCACACTCTGGGGTCCCCGTGTTGACACAGCTAATTGGCTTTATTTGTTTTAATAATTGAGCATTTTTGGCATCGGCCCTGGGCACTGATTTAATTAAAAATTTCCACTCTCATTGCCACTCCTGGAGTCGCCCCTTCGAAAGGGTTTCTTTCCACTGAGGAGCTGTCGTGACACTTTCTGTTTGTTTGGCTCTAAGGAAATCGAAATTGTATTTTACGTGTTTAATGGCGTGGATTTAGTTCGGATTCCATTGGTGAGGGCTAAGCGAGAGACTTAATTAAATGCAAATAAATATTTTGCAACTATTTGGAATGCTTAGACGCAGATCAGGAGATCGGTGTCCGTGGATCAATGGTGCAGCAGCTCTGGAAAGATCACGGCAAATCCCTAAACTTAGCCCCGACGGACTTAGCCTCTAAAAATCCAGCGATCAGTGCAGAGATCTAGCCGTGGATCTAGATCTGCTTCGAGGATCCGCGCGTTTAATCCAATTATCGATGCCTCCGGCCTTCGCCTTTGGCTTCGGGAATTGTGGGCGGGTGGCGAGGCTTAGCACAGGTAATGCTCTCATTCCCAGAAGGAGCGACTTGCCCGAAGAGAGAGAGGGAGGCATTGCGTTGATTAATTAAAATTTTGATCAGCTCTCCAACGAGGGCCATTATTTAATGAGCTTTTTTTATGAGATGCCAGGTGCCAGGTGCCAGGTGTGGCATGTCTGTGGCCAATGGGTGTGGCAACCAGTTTGCGACAATGTGTGTAGGTG